TTGTTTTGGATTTTTTAAATCTTTCCAATTAATTAATCGAGGTTTTATTGTCGTGTCAAAGGCTCTTGGTTGAAAAATTTCTACAATTTTTCTGTTTAGATTTTTTTGTAGAAATTTGTGGTAATTTTGTTAATTTAAGGATGGTTTTCCAATGGATTGCCATCATTAAGGATCTATAAAAGCAAGAGTTCTTTCCAGAACAAAGGTATCCTATTGAAGCTAAACAACATGTTTAACATCAAAATCCTCAATTTTTTGACAAAGGTTTCTACCATTGATCAAAATCACAAAGGATGATACACCAGAAAGCGAAATTAGGTGGGAACAAGATTATATAGTCTTCATTTTGATCATCAACACACTACAAGCAAAGAAAAAACTACCAAAAAAGAAAAAGAATGACACAGAGGCCACAAACAATGTTGACAGTAGACTTCTGATGGTCTTTTTANGAAATTTGTGGTAATTTTGTTAATTTAAGGATGGTTTTCCAATGGATTGCCATCATCAAGGATCTATAAAAGCAAGAGCTCTTTCCAGAACAAAGGTATCCTATTGAAACNTGAAAAATTTCTACAATTTTTCTGTTTAGATTTTTTTGTAGAAATTTGTGGTAATTTTGTTAATTTAAGGATGGTTTTCCAATGGATTGCCATCATTAAGGATCTATAAAAGCAAGAGTTCTTTCCAGAACAAAGGTATCCTATTGAAGCTAAACAACATGTTTAACATCAAAATCCTCAATTTTTTGACAAAGGTTTCTACCATTGATCAAAATCACAAAGGATGATACACCAGAAAGCGAAATTAGGTGGGAACAAGATTATATAGTCTTCATTTTGATCATCAACACACTACAAGCAAAGAAAAAACTACCAAAAAAAAAAAAGAATGACACAGAGGCCACAAACAATGTTGACAGTAGACTTCTGATGGTCTTTTCAGACACTGATACCCTGTGATTTAGTTTTACTTCCAGGTAACACTTTTAGAGACACATATCAACATCCACCGGGATATCTTCTGTTGAAGAAGACACTGTCTCTAAGCTGCCATGGACTGTTCACCACCAATAGGCTAATCTTGACAATCTCAACGTTGATGTGAGAATCTAATCAGGATTAATCAAGATGCATGCAAAATGACTCAGATATCTTGAAAAAAAAAATATTTCAATCGCTGTTGTTTTTTAAGTAAATAAACCATCACTGNGCCATGGACTGTTCACCACCAATAGGCTAATCTTGACAATCTCAACGTTGATGTGAGAATCTAATCAGGATTAATCGAGATGCATGCAAAATGGCTCAGATATCTTGAAAAAAAAAATATTTCAATCGCTGTTGTTTTTTAAGTAAATAAACCATCACTGAAAGAACCAAAAGTTCCCATTGAAATTTTAAGTCCCATAGTAATTTCAAAATAGGATGGTAGGATGGACCAATATCAACCAACATTCTTGAAATGTTCTTGACGGGATTTTAGGTGGCCCAGCAGCCCCTAGATTGACACGTGTAAAGATGTAGCCGTTATGGAACTCAAAAAGCGTCGCCGAGAAATGGTGTCGAGGAGTAATGGCTCGGAGGAACCGAGAAAAAANTTGAAATTTTAAGTCCCATAGTAATTTCAAAATAGGATGGTAGGATGGACCAATATCAACCAACATTCTTGAAATGTTCTTGACGGGATTTTAGGTGGCCCAGCAACCCCTAGATTGACACGTGTAAAGATGTAGCCATTATGGAACTCAAAAAGCGCCGCCGAGAAATGGTGTCGTGGAGTAATGGCTCGGAGGAACTGAGTATACAAATTGACACTGGCATTTTAAGACGACTTGACAGCTCATTTATGAAAAAGTGACTAACTAAGACAGGGTTATTAATGAGCCTTTGCATCCTTGAGACCCAAAACAACAGTCATGATTACGAAGCATTAATGACTATTGCGTCGAGTATATCTCCTCGGTGCACCCCTAGGTACTGTTCCCCCGAACATTTAATGCTCGGGAGTAGGTGTTAAAGCGCCGATTAGAAGACTTGAATGATGGGGGATATGACCATAAGTGCTCGGCATGTCCCGAATAGTCACCCTATCGCCCGAGTAAATTAGGCTCGAAGATCTAAGTGGAGAACACTCATTACGCATGGGTAAGAGTGCAAGTCATTAAATGTTGAATGAGACTTCAAGTCTCGACACTCATTACTAATCCAGGCATAAATACTCTTCAGAAAAATGAACAAAGGTACACAAGAACTAAATTGAGAAAACAAATACATTGTGCTCAAGCCTCCAAACTTATATTGACTTAAGCTTTAGAGAAGATAAACCGAGTGTTCATCCGGGCCCTTTTATGACCTTATGGTTGTTTCAGGTTCATTATCGAGAGGATTGCTATTTCAATCTTTTGCAGGAAATCTCCCGTGCAGTTCCACATGATGTTGCAGATTATGTAAACTAAACCAAGTCTTTTGTCTCAATTATTTGGGGTCGATTATGTGAATCCATTTTTGCCATTTATTTCGATCATGTGTTATATGCTTATTTAAGTTAAATATTTTCATATATTTTCATATTATTTCGTTTAATGTTAATTTAGGTCTACCTCTATTTTTAGATACCATTAAGAAAAATTTTATCACTTTTTCGAACTGATGCCTCTGTCGGCCTCCATTGAGCACGTGGCAGATTATGTATTATGTTTAAATTTTGCTACCATGTACAACTCATCATCACACCGTTTTAAAGTATTTTTTCTTGGGTTTCTTTTTTAGGACTTCATTTATCTCGCCCTGATAATTTTTCTTTTTGGATATATTATTTACCCATTTTTCAGAACAACATTTTGCAATTGCATTGAATTTTTTTTTTCCTCAATTGTATCATTGCAAGTAATTCTTCTAGGGTACAAATTGACTATTACTCTTTGAGAAATTGATTTGTCCTTTTCTTATTAAGGTAATTGTTTTGGTTAAATAATACTATATTGATTTTCTAACTGTGCATCTTCGTAATATGTCTAATTTTTTATCGGGAAAAAAACTTTACACATGGCTGAATTAATTTTTCCCCAACTTCAAAGACATCCACTAGACATATTAGGTTTGATGGTAATTTTGCATTGGTGTGTCTCCACATATGCTTGGTATTCTATCATAATCTTAGAATTACTAGGTATAGTGGGATTTGATTCTAGGTTACTAAGCACTTGTTAGCACAATATGTCACTTGCCTTGAGACTTTTTATTTAACCTCTACCCAATTTTATGTACAATTGTCACCCCTCGAGGTAGTGGACCTTACAACATCGCGTGACTGTTTCTTAGCTGAATAAACATACTATTATTTCTCCTTTGTAGTTGATGTGACTGTTTCTTAGCTTTTTTTTTTTTGCTAGAGATAAAAGGGGTGAGGTAACAAAAAGTGCCTAAAAACTACCCTNCATACTATTATTTCTCCTTTGTAGTTGATGTGACTGTTTCTTAGCTTTTTTTTTTTGCTAGAGATAAAAGGGGTGAGGTAAAAAAAAGTGCCTAAAAACTACCCTGATAGACAAAAATCTCTGATCATGCCAATTATTTTTATCGGGAATGAATTTAATTAGATTAGAATAACGGTCAACTATCGAACTCTAATGTGAACTCTAAAATTTAAACCTCTAACTTTAGGGTGAGATGTTCGACTAGTACCCCAATAGATCATCCCACTCAATTTTCTTAGCCGTGGCTGAATGTAAAGAGCTCGTCACCNTCGAACTCTAATGTGAACTCTAAAATTTAAACCTCTAACTTTAGGGTGAGATGTTCAACTAGTACCCCAATAGATCATCCCACTCAATTTTCTTAGCCGTGGCTGAATGTAAAGAGCTCGTCACCGCTTAATAATTTGATTTGATAAAATTATGCTTCTCAAATTTATGGGTTAATTGTAGTAGATGTCCTCAAAGTATAGAATTTATTTTATTTTGATTTTCAATATTTTAATTGCATCACTTTGGTCTATGAAGTATTGAATATGTTNTATGGGTTAATTGTAGTAGATGTCCTCAAAGTATAGAATTTATTTTATTTTGATTTCCAATATTTTAATTGCATCACTTTGGTCTATGAAGTATTGAATATGTTTTTTTATTTGTTCCCTTAAACAGATAGTATTTAAATTGCTAATGATTTTTAATCATAAACTTGTTACGTGATACTTAAATATTCATAAAAAATAATTTGGTTAGCTCTTGACCAAAATTTGACTAGCTTTTGACCAAAATTGTGTAATATGGGTAGCTCTTGACCAAAATTTGGATAAAAATTTGATTAATAGTTTATCCAAAATATTTTTTTGCACATATTTAAGTATTATGTGACAAATTTATAATAAAAAATTATTAAAAATTTAGACACTGTTTACTTAAGGGATCACATAAAGATATATTCAATATTTTAGGGACTAAAATAATATAATTAAAATATTGAGAATTAAAATAAGACAAACTCTATATTTTGGATAATTCCAGTGTAATTAATCCTAATTTTTTTTTACCAAATATTGCATCTTAAATTTTTTATTTTTTTTTTTCAGAAAAAAAGAATATTTTGGTGGAAGTTAATAAACTTCACTTATCCTACGATCTACATTAATTTAAAATACAGAATTAAAAAAAAATAAAATAAATATAGCATTATCTATTTGAGTTTGATTGGTGTTTTTTTGTTTGACTTTGAGTTTGAGTATGCATGTTTTATCCTCTTTTGCAGTTTTTGGGTGACCCGGCCCCTTTTTGATTGTATTAGCCGACCCGTTAAGCCTCCGAAGATTTAGGGTCCGGATTTGCCCCTATTAAAAGGTCTTATTATTTTCGGCTATTGTTGAATTTGTTAAACAGCCTTCCACACCACACAGAAAGCCTAAAACCCTTCTAAAGCCTCCGCAGCTCATCACCATCATTGCAAAAACTCGCAGACGAAGTTTTACCCCTGTTTGTTTCCTGAGAAAATTCCCAGGAAATAATGGCCCCACGTTCAAAGAATTTTGAGAATAAGAAATCTAAACCTCCGTTGAAGAAATTCCAAAAACCATCCCATAAATCATTCAAAAACAAAGGCAAATCAGACGCCGCCGTTCAATCAAAAGCACAAACCGTTCCTCTCCAACTCGAAGACGACGTCCCTGACTTTCCCAGAGGTATGTAATCGAAAAAGATCCTTTTAAGTCACATGTAGTTGTATGTATATGTATCGATTGGTCATGTTTATTGATTGCGGCTGGGTTTTGTAGGTGGTGGGAGTGCATTGAGTAGGGAAGAGGTTGATGAAGTTAGGGCCGAGGTGGATGCGGAGTTTGAGGCGGATAATAGAGTATTGAAGAAGCAGCTGAAGACGAGGAAGCAGAAGATGGATAAGAAAAATAGTTTGATGGAGGATGATTTTGGCTCTCTTTTTGGTGATGGTTTTACTGGAAGATTGCCGAGGTTTGCCAATAAGATCACCCTTAAGGTATGGAGTCCATGATTTCCTGCCCTTTTTTGATTGATTTCTTATATGCGGTTCGTGTTGTATTGTCAAAGTCAGTGTTTTGATGTTACCCTTCGTATGATTTTGGAAGTGGGGTGGAAGTTCTAACTTGCAAACAACAATGTGAGTCATTGGTGTCAAAAGAGGAAAGCGAAAAATGGATTTTATATTAGTTTTAGTGATTCATGAAATTATACACTGGACAGTTCTTATATACACTTGATTTTTTGTTGAGAGGTTAACAGTGGTCAGGAAAATGTGAAGGCAATTTGAAAAATCACTTTCAAGTATAGGGTGGGTTTTATGCGTGGCTGGTTCACTAACTTTGAATGTGGTAGTCTAGGGGGCTTTTAGACCTAAATTGGGTTCACAGATGCATGAAATCATGAATGGAAACGTTTAAATTTGTCAAGCTAATGATCCATTTTAGAATACTAGTTTACTTTTTTTTTTTTAATTAATTGACTTCTCAAAGGCAGAATTGGCGGTAGAGAAGCTTCAAATTTAAACTCTTGGTTTATAAATTGGGTTCGCTTTTTTTTTTTTTTAAATCTTTGACAATATATAATTGCAGTGGTTTCCCAAGGATTTTGGAGATCCTTCAGCCCTACTTGGACCCTACAATTTCCATTGGTTGAATATATCCTAGCCCTTCACACTTTGTCCTCATAGTCGTTGATAATTCTGTTTGTTTCTTTGTTTTGAAGAGAAAGTGATATGATCACACTCTCCTATCAAAACAAAAGTGGGCATATCACACTCAAATTTCTGCTTTCTTTATGTATTCCCAGAATATTTCTCCTGGAATGAAGCTTTGGGGAGTAATTGCTGAAGTGAACAAGAAAGATATCGTGGTCAGTCTTCCAGGGGGCTTCCGTGGATTAGTTCGAGCATGTGAAGCATCTGATCTCTTTTTGGATAATGAAGTGAAGGGGGTACTAGGCTTCCGCTTAAACTTATGTTTGATTGTGCATTCATGGATGTTTGTGTTTATTATTTTTCTGGTCACCCTATACAAATTGGGGTAGTTCTTAATACTTTGTTGTTTAATATATTTTTTTTTCTTTCATAATTTAACAAATTTCTTAATATTTCAATTTTGTTCATTTGCATATTTCCAGTGTGGTGTTCCCCTTTGAAATATGCTAACGGACCTATATTTTATCTTTCCTCCTATGCCAGGATGTGGAAGGTAATCTCCTTTCGACCATATATCATACTGGGCAGCTGGTTTCTTGCATTGTGTTGCAATTGGATGAGGATAAAAAAGAAAAAGGAAAAAGAAAGATCTGGCTTTCTCTGCGTCTAGCTTTGTTGCATAAGAGCTTAACATTTGATGTTATTCAAGAAGGGATGGTATGTTATCTTCATTGGATGTTCTTTTTTCAAAAGTAGATGCCATTTCGAACATTTTAGTATTTTTAGTACATTTGATTAACTAAATGTTCTTGAGGGAGCGCCTGTAAACAATGTTGAGCATTATGTCTTTTGTCGGATCCGATATGCCTTAGTTCAACTTTTCTGGTTAAGTAAGTAAAATATTATACCGCAGGATTTGGAGAGCTAAAAAATATGGCACTTTTAACTCTAAAATATTGTTGGTCATATACTTCTGCAAAGAATCAATTGAATCCTGACATATAATTGTAAGTTGCATAAATGTGGAGAGATTGAACATTAGGAAGAACTTGAGGAAAAGTTGCAACCTAATCTTTCTTTTAATATTTTACTTTCTTAGGTAAATTGAAATATCAAATGATCTTCTGTATGCTTTGATGTAATAAAGAAAAATAAAGCTACAAACAAGCATTAAATTGGGTCACACAATCCTTTGCCTAAGAACAAATTCTCACCCTTACCACTACTATAGAAAAGTATAAGTACTTTAGGTAGATAAAATTCCAAGGAGATTGATCACCTTTAACCTTGGAAAAGGTTCCAAGGACATTGATCCTCTTCTAGTCCATTGCATTTTGTCCCAACTATTGTATTGAATTTCAAACTTTCCTTGAGAGCAAATTGCAGAGTTAGTTTTTCAGTATCAGTAATCATCACAACCACTTTCAATGTGGTCCCTTATTTATGGAAGTTAAATTTCCCAATCTTAAATTTCTTTTCCTTAGGACAATAAATGACCTCTTGTAATTTGTTGTCCTACTCCTTCCTATTTTTTCCAACACCATTCAAAATCTCTTTGGACTTTGGGGTTTGAAGTTTATGAGCGGCACTCAGTAGCTTCTTATGGAAAGAAAAGTGGTTGGTAGGAGGTAAGGCAAGCTTGATAGATCTAAGATGATCTATTATTCTGCCATTGGATTCCTAAATACTTTGTTCTCAAAATCTGGTTTTCCCCCAATTACATAGTTTCCAATTTATCATATTGGCCTTAGAATGTGGTTTTATGCTTCTTTTTCTATGTTTAATGAGACTGTGGTATTTGACTTGCATTAAAAGAGGACCTTCACTATACATAACATGTTTTGTTGAGATCCTTGAGAGCAAAACACCATTCTTTGAGGCCAACCACCTCAAACCATTGTCTAGCCTCTTCTGAAAAAGCAGATGTTGTAGAGCAAATCAAAGAGGCCTTCAAATGCCCCCAACCCTAGTCCTGCATAGGCTTGGTAACCAAGGATTGCTCACTATCCCACCGTCCAACCTACTCTCATAATCTTTACAAAGCATCCTTATATATTGCAATTTGGAACTGTCCAAAAACACTTCCATGCCATGAAGCCCGATAGCTCCAAACTCTCAAACCTTTTCGATCATTAATGAAGATGCTTGCTAAATTCTATCAAGTATGATCCACTCCAATAGTCAAATCACTTGTGACTGGCTAGCCTCATCTGTCCTGTTTTAGCTAGCAAACCCAAACACACTTGCTGCCACCCTCTTAAATAGGTTGCCCATGTCCAATACATATATCTCAATAACCTTTTTGAGATACATGCATTGAACTCGTTTTGGGTTCAATACCCGTATTCTCTACCATGCCTATCGAAAGTCCTTTTGTAACTTCTCGAATGCTATGTAGACTGTAATTGGATTTATGAACATGAAGTACATTGATAAGCTAGAGAAAGTGTTGTGTCAATATGTCACCTGTTAGTATCTTAGTATCTTGACCAAAGGCCCAAGATATGCTTCAACTAAGCATCGGAATTTGTTGAATATTGCAGTGATTAGAGGACGGGTAGAGGAGTGGAAAGGAAAGAAGAGAATAGAAAAAGAAGAAGATGGGAGGTTACCACATCCTCATAAGGATTAGGTCATAATTCCTCTCTAATAATGGTGGGGATTGCATCAATATTTATAGGCTAAGTTTCCTATTAAAACAAAAATTATTTTTTTACTAAAATTCTAAAATAGTTTCATAATCATACTCTCTTACTAAAATTTTATAATAATTTCATAGTCAAACTCCTCACTAAAACACTAACAGTCACAGTCAGACAAATATTGTTTATTTATATAATCTAATAAATAATAAAATTAATCCTAATTAAACCAAATGTAGAATTCAAGTTTATCCAATTCCTTTTCGTTCTCCATTTCTCCGCGGCTAAAAATACTCTTATCCGAAGAGTTGTAAGGGTAAAGAATTCCAAGAGATCTCCAATCTTTCTTTCATGGGTGGGACTAATTGGTATATCTTCCTTGTGCTTCTAGCTTCCTTTCAAGCTTTTGTTGCGACATGGTATATTTTCCCCCCATTGCTAATAGGCTGATGGGTTGCACACGCGACATACATTTTTTGGCCTTGTGTGTCCATAACTCAAAATAGGTGACCTATTATGAGTTTTGGTGCATTCCTCTTGCCATCTCCCAAATGGAATAGATAGCTCCTGCAATGCTTGCTTCACTTTCAGCTTTGAAAAGAGGGAGCCTCATGTCAATATGAACTCGCCTGGGGATCTTGATTTAGTTGTGGCGCTCCTTGCTTACTCCTAGAGAACAAACTCTTGATGTGTTACATTCTTTGTAGTCTTGTCCATATACTTGATATAGGTGAAGGAAGCATATAAATCGGTGGAGACAAAGTAGCAACTCCATTTGTTGTGACACCCTTTGAAACTTGTTTAACTTTATTTGTAGTAACATCCTTTGAAATCGGCTTGTAAAAAACAATTGTTCTAGTATGAGTAGGAGAACTTTCGGGCTTATCAACATCAAACAATTTTGGTTTGCCATTATTCCATCATATTGGAGCTTCTGGTGGTGGGGTGTATTCAATCACTTGTTGATGACGAATAGATGAAGAAGATGAATCAATGTCTACCTTGCTCTCAAAGTTCTTATTTGGGAGTTTCACTCCAAGCATGGCATCCAACTTGTATACTTTCATGTAGATATTCCATTGATGTACGAGCGAACCTATTAATGCTTAGAGTGAATCGAGCTTAGCATCTCGCGCTTCAAGTTTGACAAGTGGCATTGGTAACCATCTTTATGGAAGGATGGTTTAAGAGTTTCTAAAATTGTTGGGGCTACTCTATAATTTCAGAAAATTTTGGGGCCAAACTTGTCATTTCAGAAAGCTTTGGGGCTAAAATATAATTTCTGAATTTTTTTGGAGCAAAACTATAATTTTAGGAACTTATGGGGTCAAAATTGTATTTTCTTGAAGGTTTGGGGTTGTTTGGGTAATTATAGAATAGTTGGGGGGTGGGGATGAGCTTGTTTCTGCTAGTCTTTTTTGGTGAAGGGCTTGATTTGGGATATTCTAGAAGCCTAGATTGGGTCAGTACGTTTTTGGCTAGAAATTGGTTTAATGGCTGGTTCATTCCTTTGAACCCTAACTTCTCAAAATTTGTAATAATGTAGGGGTTCCGCGATTGGGTCCTTCACCTAATATTCTCAATAGATAGTAGCAACAATGAGACTGTGATGATGAAGAAGGCTATTGTAAAGCAATGGTTGTTTGCCTTTTTTTTTTGTTGACGTTAACACGACGACAATCAGGAATGATCGAAGTTGGGCTCTGATTTCAAATTGCAGGACGGGGAAAGGAGGGGAAGGGAAAGAAGTGAATAGAAAAAAAAAGAGAAGAAAGGGGTTACCACATCCTCGTAAGGATTAGGTCAAGAAATACAAATCTGTGCAGGGAATAATCAATTCATATTTATAATCTCTCTCAAATAATGCTAGAGATTACATCAGTACTTATGGATTAAGTTACCTACCAAAACAAAAATTATTTTCTCATTAAAATTCTGAAATAGTTTCATAATTAAACTCCCAAATTACTCTCTTACTAAAATTCTATGTAATAGTTTCTTAGTCAAACTCTAACTCTCACTGAAACTCCTAGTCAAACAAATACCGTCTAATTAAATAATATAATTAATCCTAATTAAACCAAATCTTGAATTCAAGTTTATCCAATTCTTTTTCGTTCTCCATCACACAATCACTTGTTTTTTGCTGGTTTTGTCTGGATATGCACGCTAGTATCTTATAGGATGTCAATGATAGGAAAAAAGGTCGTTATGTATCCTACACAAAAGCATGTGATATCTCATTTCTCATTATTATGTGCACATCATATCAGCGGAAAGAAAGCATAGGGTAACCCTTTGAACTTTAGATTACATGACAAAGGTATCCTAAATCGCTGATGACGGAGCCACACTAATGGGGAAGCAAGCTCTAAGCAATCACGTCATGAATATGATGCTATATTGCTACTTCTACGTATTAGAACTCTTCGGTGTCTAGTCTAGTTTGTGTCAAGATCTTTTGGACTTTTTGGTTTCCATGGCAATGATAAGATCTCTACCATTGTTTTGAAGGATCCACTATGAATGAATGGGAAGACTGGGGTGGTTATTCACTAGGCGGTAGAAATTAGTATTCTCTAATGACCGTTGTGAGCTATGTAGTTTTTATGGATTTATTTATTTTCAAAGGTATTATTTTTGAATTTTTATGTGAGACTTTGAATCCAAATCAAGAGCTTCTTAATTTTTTTTCTTGTTTAATGTTGAAGTGGACTTGCTTCTTTTGGTTTTAGTGTGGATTTCAATCAAACCCTTGTGGAATAGGATTCTCCCCCCCCCAAAAAAAAAAAAAAATCAACTTACATGTGTATGTTTATATATATATGAGTATCTACACACACGCACACTCTTTTTTGCTTAGCTGCTTTATGCTTGTGGGCTTTTCACTATCTTAAGTACTAAAATATGAAACCCAAGGTTTGGAAACTATACTCTATTCTTGTTATTAAGGCTAATTCACTCATCACTTTTGTCTCCTAGTGCAGCCTTGGAATACCGGAAATATAGGCAGTGCTGCATAAACATCGAATCAAAGTGTTCTTTACCTCTTTGTTGTCAGCAACGCCGACAAACAAAAAACTTTTATACTCCTGATTTTTGACTAATTGAACCATAGTGAGATTAAAAAAGAAACTAGGTTCTTTTTCAGTTTGACGTTGTATACTTTATTCACGAGCTGTCTGATGTTTTGTACATGAGTTACATACTTGACACTTCAGAGGTACATGTTTTGTTTAGATGAAGATTAGCATTTGATTCTTTTTCGGTTTGATGTTNGGTTCTTTTTCAGTTTGACGTTGTATACTTTATTCACGAGCTGTCTGATGTTTTGTGCATGAGTTACATACTTGACACTTCAGAGGTACATGTTTTGTTTAGATGAAGATTAGCATTTGATTCTTTTTCGGTTTGATGTTGCGTTTTTTTTTATTTACATAGTGTCTGATGTTTTGAAAATGAATTACATGCTTGACACTTTGCAGGTACACGAATAACATGTTTTATTTGGATGAGGATATCATGTTGGCACTTAATTATGTTGCAGAAACAAAGTGTCCTTTCAACCCTCTTTTTCCTGTGTTCTTCTTTTTTTTTTTTTTAATGCTATTTGAAATTGGGCGAAGTTGATGGGAATATATTTGTTTATTTGTGGTTCTTTGTTTGCTATCTAATTTGGTGGTGATCCTTCCCTACCCTTCCCTTGTTACATTGTTGAGGCTTACATGATCTCTTAGCATGATATTGTCTTTCTCATTGATTATGATTTACAGGTCCTCAGTGCTTATGTGAAAAGCATCGAAGATCACGGTTATATAATGCATTTTGGGTTGCCTTCCTTCACTGGGTTTATGGCAAAAAACAGTCAGTCTGGTAATCATCAGTCAACCTGTGCATTTCTGTTTTTTAACGTCTTTTTTTAGAATTGTAGGTTTTCTGATAGATTATAAAAGTAAGGCCAACTAGAACCGGTGTATTATATTTTCATCACACTTTCTAACTAATGTTTATTGCGTTCTTGTCTAGTTGAATAATCTTCTTTTCTTCTTTTTGAGAACTGGATTATTCCTCTGAATGTGCTCGTCGCACCACAAAAGACCTACTACCATGCACGATGATAGCCAAGATTGAATTCCATGTGGCTAGTCCCAAGGGGAGATTCGAATTTAGAACCTAAACATTTGAAGTAGGCTCTTGATCAGCTCATTCCTTGCGGTTGTGTAGAAATGTGATTTTCGAGATGCAAAAAAATGAATAACAGTCCTATTGACTTAATAAAGAACTTGATGACCAGGGACTTCCACTTATGTTTATGTTAAGCACCCCGACATTGAGCAAGTCAAATCGGAATATCTCACTTCACTTGTTAGACTGTTCAGCATTACTCTGATTCCAGTTCTCTTTCTTAGAATCATAGTTTTAAATGGCTCCCTGATTTTATATTGATTCTGATTTTTTGATCCAATATTTGTGCGTCCAGTCATTGTCCAATGCAAGTGAGATCAAAAGCTGGGTGTTAATTAAGAACTCAAGAACAAGTACAACCACCAGCAACAATATCCTCAAATCAAACAACCAGCAACAATATCCCCAAATCGAACCACAAGCAACAATACTAAAATATATATATATATAGGGGTGACAATTTTTGACACGACACGATAACTTGATACGAAACACGATACGAATAAATGGGTTTGGGTTGACTAATTTTTTGACACGACCAGCGTATGACACGATTTAATGGGTTATGTTCGGGTTCAACCCGTTTAACACGAATTGACCTGTCAACACGAAGTTTTTAATTCGAAGGAGATTGACTTGACTTTTTCGTTGCATGTATGAGTTTTCATGTTTTGATGACTTGTTTTTTCCATTACTTCTGATGTTTAATTTGGTTGTATGATGTGCGATTAACATATTTAATTAGTATTATATAAATAAAATATTAATTATTTATAACTGTTTATCAAGCACTGACATAATTATTGTATAAAAAAGATACTATTACTCATTATTGTTATTATTATTATTATTAATTTAATTTTTAGTTTGTAGAAAAAGTATGAGGAGATTCAATTAAGTGAAAATAAAATTTTAGCATTAAATTTTTTATTCAAAGTTTATGTAGGTCAACACGAATATGAACACGAACACGACACGAAAATAAACAGGTCAACTCGACACGACACGAATAGTTAAATAGGTTGGGTATGGGTTGACTAATATTCGACACGACTAATATTCAACACGATATGAATCCAACACAACACGACTCGATTGCCACCCCTATCTATATATATATATATATATATATTCTAGTCAACAAAAAAATCCAAATTGGACACCAGATGCACAGGCCCAGATGAAAAAAATTTCAAAAAAAGTGGAGTTAAATAATTACAAACATAAAGGAGGAAGATTACCTTCTATTCTCTTGTCTTGCTGCCACTAAGAGACCAAATATCACAGAAATCTCTAGTCTGCTGTGTGACTTGTGAGAGAGAAGGAGATGGGATGCACACAGAAGTCCTACTGAAGTGCCAAGGTTTTACCACCAAGTTGGGTCACAAAGAACAACAGTAATTAAAGAGATCGAGATCCAAATTTATACACAAATCTAGATTTATGCTATGCCTTACTTGAGGAAAGGAAATCCATAGAGAATGAAGGAAGGATATCCTTTGACTTCGACTGTGAAGCAGCAGGTACATCAATAAATCTGAATCTCTTTGAGGAAATCCATGGAGAACGTCTTACCTGCTGCCTTTGACTTCGACTATTCAACGGTGTAAGTCCTTCGACTGTTCAGCACTTCGATTGAGTCGAGAGAGAGACAGAGAGAGGTGTGAGGCTGTTTTATCTCAGACGTTAGCGAGAGGTAGAGAGCACAAAAAGATTTAGGGCAAAAAATGCCTAAAAGGGCCAAAACCCTGGTATTTATATCTTTTTTATTGATCCGACCGGTTTATTACAAACCGTCCGGTTTGAACGGTTTGCTCACGAATCGGGCGGTTTCTTCAGGGTTTGTGTTGAAACGATCCAAAACAAGAACCGGCCTGGTTTAGGCTCCGGTTCACTGGTTTACCGGGTCAACCCGCTGGGCTAGGCTGGGTTTTAAAACACTGCTTAGAATTCATTCAGTTTCTAACACCTAATAAAGAACCATAAAATTGCAAACGGAGTCACTTTCTACAGCATTCGTCCCTTGATTTTGCCTGCTTGACTTGACTTGACTATTGACCTACTGAATTCTATGAATAGGTATCACGTAAGATATTCAAAGCCTTTTCTTTTTTCCAATGTTTGTTTTTCCTACTTAGAACCATTCCAGTTATGCAAAAAGAACAGAATGGAACTTATGTTCACTCTACAAAGAGCCTAATATGATGGGGATTTAGCTTGTCTACATGCTAATAATAATCATTTGGTGGAAGCACACTGACAGCTTTACTGATTTTGAATATTATGTGAGACTTATGATTCACCATCAGTGGCTTTTTCCCTTCTTTTTGAACTTCCAATCTATTGCTAGAATTTTGGGTGTCTGATACAGGCTTTGAATTGAAATAAATACCTAGAAGTGCCTAAGTTTTGAGTCCATTGATGGTTTCCTTAAAGAATGTGATCTTGGTGGTAGTCTGGGGAGAGGGATCATTTGAGTTTGTGATTACAAGTCTGTCAATTTGTTTGTGCTTTCTCTTCCTGTCAAGAATGTTCTTGGAAAATATTATATGGTGCTAATTTAGGTCATTTAGTGGTTTGCTGTAACTGGACTCTGCTTCCATAGTTTATTAAATCTTTACTATGCATTCCAACTTACATTTCGATTTATGGGAAATAATTTTTTGAAGACTATTGTATCTGATTTGCATGTCATTAGTCAAATATTTTATCTGCTTCCTCTCCCCTGTGTCCTTTGGCAGATGGCAAGGACATTAAGGCGAACACTGGCCAACTTTTACAAGGGGTCGTTAAAAGTGTTGACAGAACCCGTAAAGTGGTTTATCTAAGTTCTAACCCAGATATGGCGTCTAAATGTGTGGTATGCCTCTTAGTTATTGTTTGTTTATTTGTCTGATTTATCCTTATGCAAATTGTCCTGTTATATAACAAATCATTGTTGTACTCCTATCCTATGCAGACCAAGGATCTTAAGGGTATTTCAATTGATCTTCTCATTCCAGGCATGATGGTTAATGCTCGTGTGCAGTCAACCCTTGAAAATGGGATTATGTTATCATTTCTTACGTACTTTACAGGAACTGTAAGTTTGCAGTTCTCTTGTCGTCAGATCATAATTGAATGGGCTCTTACTATGATTTAATTTGAACGTATTGCATCATGATGTATCATTTCATGTGACTGCAGGTTGACATATTTAATTTACAAAAAACCTTTGCCACTTCAAGCTGGAAGGATGAGTACATTCAAAATAAGAAGGTAATGCTCACCTGCCTTGGACTTTGGCATTATTTAACCAAGAAATATGCTCTAGGATTTTCACCCCTGCTGAGCTCTTGATTCTCTTGATTGACCCATATCGGGTGTGTTTATGCTTTTTATCATCAGGCATTTGATATTTTTCTGTTATTCTTACATGTTTAGTTTAATCCGTGTCTATCTTAATTCTACTATTTATTTGAGGAGTCTTTAATTTGCCAAATTTCCTGAGGCCTATGCTTTTTTCTATTGAAATTGCCTTTGCCAAATTATGATTTTTCCTTTCCAATCTCATGATATGCCCGTCGTACCTGTGCCCTTTTTTCTCTTTGCTTATGTTTGGCTAGCTGCTGTCAGTTTTCGATGACGTTTTTAATGCTGTCATAGTGAAGTCATGATTTATTCGAGAAAAAAATTCTGACAATTGATAAGATCAGATGACATCTTACAGTTGATTCTCTTGATTGAACATTCCTCTTGGAAATTTGATATATGACTTAAGAGTTGCAACACTTGGTACACCTTTTGAGAACAGTAGTAGGAGGGACAAGTTGAGGATTGAGACTATTGTAACTTAACTTTGATCAACAAAAAACTTTGAAGGAAAAGTAGGTTAGGTTGGAAACTACATTATGGTTTCATAGTTTGGATGGTATGACCTTGAGTTGAAACTGAAATGTACTCTATGAAAATTTGTACATCAAATGCATTTTAAGGAACTTGAAACTTGAGTAAAAATCAGCATATATTTGACAGGATGCTTGAAAGATATTGGCTGTTTTTAATTAACAAAGAACTTCATTTATTTTTGATTTGATAACTTTAAGAAGCTGAACTTAGTGGACATGGTGGTATGATCAGAGCATTATCGGTTATATAGAATGTAGCAGAATTTAAAGGAATTCTTTTTTCTTCAAGGATAGATTGGTTGTCTTGTGATTTTGTGTTGTGGTTTTATGCCTGAACTGCAATATATGGTGAGTATAGGCAAGGATCACAATTTTGTTTTGGTGCATTGTTTCGGTTACCTAGAAAACGAAAACATTTCGACCCGTTTCGAAAACAGGATGAAAAAAAAAAACATTTAAAATTATTTTTTCAAAATATTGGTCAAAATATACCAAAATATCTTAAAATATCTTAAAACATTCCGAAATAATTGTGCAAATGTATTGAAATATAGCAAAATATTTTGAAACATTATGCAACACCTCGAAATATTAAAATTTCAATTCTATCACTGATTTGTTTCGGTCTCCTTTGAAACAAAAACGATTCAGATGTTCGAACGTTTTGAACCGATATTTTGATCCTTGAGTGTAGGTGCATGAACTGCAATATATGGTGAGTATAGAACATTGCCCTATATGATATTTGTTGTTTATGATAGAATTATATCTTTGGATATAATCCATAAATTTGATTTGTGCTGATCATATTCTCTGCATTGTCATAATCTACCTTTCTCAAATTTCCATGACTTTTCCTTTTATATTTTCTAATATTAGTATCTTGTTATAGGTCAGCGCTCGGATATTATTTATTGATCCCACTACTAGAGCTGTTGGGTTGACCCTGAATCCTTACCTAGTTAACAACAAGGCTCCACCTTCAGTAAGTTTATTATAAACCTCATATTTCCTTGAGTCATCCAAGCTGTGACAACATTGTTTGTAAGCAGAGATTTGTTTGGTGTAGGCTTTATTTATTCGTTGTACTACCTTTGGTTTGGTACTTTTTAGTTCTTGAAGCTTTGGAAACTAAATATGATATAGGTTGTTTTAAAGTGGGGGTTGAATTCTGTCCATTAAAGAAATGGTTCAATGAACATGAGCAAGCCTAAGCTTTGCAAATCTTAGTTTAGGGATGGCCAGGGAAGGGGTACGGGAACCCAGTCTATGGATGGGTTTTGATATAAACTACCTCTTTTTTTTTTTTGTGGGGGGGGGGGGGGGGGGGG